GTCACAAATAATAACATAACAAAATCACACACACACACACACACACACACACACACACACACACACTCACACACACGGAGTAACTACATACACACACGCACACAGAGTTCCTGCCTGCCAATCCTACGCGCACGAGAGAGAGAGAGAAAGAGAGAGAGAGAGAGAGAGAGAGAGAGAGAGAGAGAGAGAGAGAGAGTTCCTGCTTGCCAATATAAAGGTACAAGGCCTGGAAGCTCGCAGCCTAAAAATCAAACCGAGTGGACCACCCCGGAAGCGCCAGCCAAGGAGCACCGCGAACACCCGGCCTCCCTCGCGCTCACCTCCCACCGTCTACACCACACCACACCAAGCCGAAACCACGGCGCCAAAACACCACCAAGGGGCTTCACGCCCACCTCCACAGTCACAGAAGCAGCCGCCGCCGCCGCCGCCGGAAACGCCTCCGCGCCTTACAGACCTGAACTGATGTCACTTCCGTTGATAGCGTAATACGCCGGAGTGAGGAGGCCAGGGGGCGGGACTCCCGGGAAATTTGAGAGGATCGGCGTTGAGTGGAGCCATTGAGGGAGCAAACGAAAGAAAGTAACACTGCAAGTGTGGTGGCTAGTTTGTCTACTTGACACAGCTAGAGTTATCTGAAAGGCGGGAACCTCAATTGAGAAAATGCTTCCATAAGAATAAGATCTGGGATCTGGAGGTGGTGGCACACGCCTTTAATCCCAGCATTCAGGAGGCAGAGACAGGCCTGAGGCCAGCCTGGTCTACAGAGGGAGGTCCAGGACAGCCAAGGCTACACAGAGAAACCCTGTCTCGGAGGAGAGGGAAAAAAAAAAGAATATACGCAACTCTGTAAAGCATTTTTAATTAGTAATTGATGGGAGCTAGGCCCAGCCCATTGTGGGTGATGCTATCCCTGGGCTGGTGATCCTGGGTTCTATAAGAAAGAGGGTTGAGTCCCTGCGTTGGTGGCACACGCCTTTAATCCCAGCACTGGGGAGGCAGAGGCTGGCGGAACTCTGAGTTCGAGGCCAGCCTGGTCTACAGAGCAAATGCCAGGATAGGCTCCAAAGCTACACAGAGAAACCCTGTCTTGAACCCCCCCCAAAAAAAACAAACAAACAAACAAAAAGAAAGGGTTGAGCAAGCCAGTAAGCAGCACTCCTCCATGGCCTCTACATCAGCTTGTGGATCTTCCAGGATCCTTCCCTGTTTGAGTTGCTGTCCTGACTTCCTTCAATAATGAACAGTGATATGGAAGTATAAGCAAAATAAACCCTTTCCTCCCCAAGTTGTTTTTCGGTCATGGTATTTCATCACAGCAATAGGAACCCACACTAGATAAGTTGGTACCAGGAATGGGATATTGTTGTTACAGACCTGACCATGTTTTTGGGAGGGTTGCTGAAGAACCTTGGAACTTTGGGCTAGAAAAACCACAGAATGTTGAGAGCTCAGTGAGTTGTTCTCAAGGGGCTCAGAAGATAAGAACACTGAGACCGTGCAGTTGATGGAAGCCTGGCTTGTGAAATTTCAGAGGGACGTTTAAAGACTGTCAGTACCATTTGCTATTTTTAACTAAGATTCTGTGGTTCTGGTTAGTTGGAACTGAAGAATCAGCTGTGATTAACAGAACTGCTGAAGCAAAACCTTTGCTGGGATACTAAATGCTGTTTGGCTGGAGCTGAGAAATTAATGGTCCTTAAGAAGAGAATAGCATTATTGAAGTGAAATCTGGGAAGTATCTCCTGAGAGTCAGCACGTGGTGATGGGGGGGGGTGGTGGTGGTGAGATTGCTTGGAAGTTAAAAACTCTTGTTGCTCTTCCACAACCATCCATAACTCCAGTTCCAGGGGATCTCACACCCTCTTCTGACCTCTAAGAAAACCAGCCAAACTCGTGGTTCATGTCTTAGTGTTTCAATTGCTGTGAAGAGACACCATGACCACAGCAACTCTTATAAAGGAAAACACTTAATTGGGTGGCTTACAGTTCAGACATTCAGTCCATTATCATCATGCTAGGACATGGCGCTGGATAAGGAGCTGAGATTCTACATCCTTGATCCATAGACAACAGGAAGTGCTCTGTGATACTGGGAGTAACTTGAGCATAGCAAAACCTCAAAGCCCATCTCCACAGTAACACACTTCCTCTAACAAGGCCACACCTACTCTAAGGCCACACCTCCTGTATTAGGGTTCTCTAGAGTCACCAAATTTATGGGATGAATCTCTCTCTCTAAATTTATATATGGGAATTTATTGGAATTAATTACAGGCTGCAGTCCAACAATAGCTAGTTGTGAATGGAAAGTCCAAGAATCTAGTAGCTGCCCAGTCCCACAAGACTGAGGGTCTCACCTGGTTTTCTGTATATGCTGAAATCCCAAAGAAGAAGGCCCCCCAAGCCAGTGAACCAATGGATGTGCTGATGAGGTGAGTGCAAGCAGGCAAAGAATGAACACATTCCTTCTTCCATTGTCCTTATATAAGCTTCCAGCAGAAGGTGTGGCCCAGACTAAAGGTGTGCCTTCCAGCCTCAAGATCTGGATTAAAGGTGTGTGTCATCTAGCCTCAAGATCCACATCCAAAGTGTATTGTCTTCCTGCCTCAAGATCCAGATCACAAGTGTGCCCTCCATTTCTGGATTATAGTTTGTTCCAGATATAGTCAAGTTAATAAAGAAGAATAGCCATCACACCTTCTAATAATAGTGCCACTCCCTTTGGGGTCCATTTTCTTTCAAAACACCACAGTGCACATCCATACATGCAGGCAAAACATCTAATATACATAAAATAAAACTTTAAAAAAAATAAAAATTTTATGAGCTCATAGATTCAAACACAGTTGAAGGGTTTTAATTGGAGGGGGGTGTTTCAAGGCAGGGTTTCTCTGTGGCTTTGGAGGCTGTCCTGAAACTCTGTAAACCTGGCTGATCGCCCAACCCCCAGAGCCCCCCCCTGCCTCTGCCTCCCGAGTGCTGGGATCAAAGGCGTGCTCCACCACCGCCCAGCAAAGGGTTTTAATTTATGAGGAAAAATTTTTGAGTCAGTATCTTGCTATGCAGCCCTGGCTAGATTTAAACTTAAAGCAATCCTCCTGTATGAGCTTTGAGATTAAAGACACATGTCACCATACCCAGTAGAAGTTATTGTCAATACTCAAACTGTTCTATCTTCAGGAGCTGAAACCTCTTCTAGCTTGTTCCAGAGTGATTCAATCCATTCCTGGAATCTTCATAGCATCTTTACCATCTGGCATGACCAAGTGTTCCATGATTGTCTTTTTTTTACTACATCTTCTGTCCCAGATTTGTGGGTAATTGCTTTCCTAAGAAGGCCTGGATCACAATCTGGGTATTAGGAAATCAGAATGCTCATTTCTGTGAACTGGCCATTGCCTCTGCGATCTAGGATGTTAGCCAGGCATGATGGTACATGCTTGCAAATCTCAGCACTCAGGAGGTTGAGACTTAAAGATCAAGAGTTGGAGCCAGTTTGGACTACAAATTGAGACCCTGTATCCAAAAACAAACAAGCAGATGTAGGAAGTTGATAGACAAGTAGATAGAGATGCATATATTGGCTAAACTTAACCACTTTTATATGGTGATATTGAAAGGCCCGCTGCCTCTCTGTCTTCCCCCCGCCTATGCTGATGCTGGATGTTCTCTCTGGAGCAGCCGGGAGGG